ACACACAGAAGTGCACACAAACAATTTAACCTAATGCACAGTTAGGTTTTAACAGGGTCATGTTTGCAGTTTCCTGCACTGCTGCAGAACTACAAAGCCTCATGACAGATTTCTGTGAATTGGGACTTTTAAAACACTTTGCACCGCTTTATGAATAGATTTTTATTAACTTATTCTAATAAAATGTAACCGAAGTGTATCTAAACGGTGCAGAAGAGGATTGATTTTCCACTTCCAAACTTGCTATCACAGAAGCCAATGTCGCCATGACACTGTTTATACAGTGGGTGCAGACTCTGTACCAGTTTAAATAATTAGTCACCACACTGCACGAAGAATCAATGGGAAAACTTCATTCTTTTGTGAAAAGAAAACATTTTAACTACTGACAAACCACTATACCCCTTTTTAGTCTCTAACAAACAAGTAATTGTCGATCTCTGGGAAAATAAATACCATAGCATTTGCTATAGTACAGGCAGCAGTGTTCTGAATACTTTCAGTCTAATAATTTAAACAAGCCTGGGATGAAATGGAAAAAATACCATAAGGCTGGTCAACCAAAACTTGACAACTCCATCATAGATTCCATCTTACACTGTAACTGTAAAGATTTTCAGGTTTGTGTGGGTTTTTTGGCATACATGAAACAGAGAAAGTGCATATTTTCTCTGTGGGTTGCTGTGGCCAGCCAGGCCCTCTGCTGTTTTTTTCTTGGTCTTCAAAATGCATCTCTTTTCTCCAAGTACTATATTTTCCGCACTATAAAGCGCACTTAAAATCCTTTAATTTTCTCAAAAATCGGCAGTGCGCCTTATACTCTGGTGCGCCTTATCTATGAATTCTGGCTGTGTTTACTGACCTTGAACCAATTTTATGTGGTACACGGCGCTCAAAAATCAGTCAAAAGATGTTTTAGTAGGACTTTGCTAAGCTACGAAGCCACACTGCTTGATCGATTGTCTGAGCGTTATGGCTACCGTAATCAGGAGCCCCACGGCTCATAGTAATCTGGGTCCAAAACCCCGTCTGCGTCAGGTCCCAAACGAACACTGTGTAAATACTTTCATCTTTAATAAAATGATCAGTGTTGCTGCTTTACCAGGTGTAACAATTAAGTTTAACATCCAGGCATCCATGAAAACAGAAATTATTAAATTTAACGGAGTTATAAGTTAGCAGATAGTTAGCTGGCTAGTTTCGCTAGTTACCTAAACATGATGTAGCATGTTCTGACTGAGAGATTTCTGGGCAAAAATAAAACGTACAGCTCTGCTATCACTTCCAACATGAATGAAGACAGAAAACTACACAGCAGTGACGTTTGTAGGATTACTGAAGTTGGACTAGCTGGTATATGATGCTGTG